TGCATGAAAAAGTCTTAAATATCTCCGTTTGTGTTATACGGAGGGAAAAAGTCCCACAGGTTTGGAACGACATGAGGGTGAGTAAATGCAGACAGAATTTAATTGTTGAGTGAACTATCCATTTAATTTTCCGCCTTTGTCGTTCACAAGCAGCAAGACCTAAAAGAAAAGTGGAGACTTCTAAAAGCACATTTAAATGCTTTTCTCTCCGGACCAGCAGGGAACATTGTCATTTCCTAACCCCTGTCCCCTCGATCACAGCCCACCAGTGTCATCTTCTCTAGTTTTGTTTAATAAGGGAATCATGCTGAGTCAAATTATTAGAAACTAATGAAGTCTCCACACAGCTGTATCACAGAAATGAACTGATAAGGTGACCAACATGCCAAGCAATCAGTTACGCTTTCCAGTTCAGACAGAGGAGAAGAAAAGCCTGTATTATTGAGGGAGGGAGAGAGAGGGGATAAGTCGAGGCAAGGCAGCAGGTGGTGTTCTTGCTTTGGACGCCTGTCTCCCTGTAAGCAGCCACGCAGTGGAGATGAAGGCAGGCCGCCACAATCCCCTTGCGCTGGGCTTTCTTTTGTCACATCAAACAAGGGCCACACGTTTTTGTGAGCAAGGGTGCACATTCTCTCTTTCCTCTTACCTCATTTCTCTGTCCTCCTATTGGTTGTCATCTGCTCTGACACCAACTTGGATACTCTCTCACACACGCACACAGTGACCATTCACACAGGACGCTTTCTAGCAGTTTGACAGAGTGCAACAGTATTGAACATAAAGTGCATTTATAGGTGCTTTTAATACACTTGTCAATATATGTAGTTATCCTGGCCCCTAATTAATCTGATTGATTTTTAAAAAATCTGATATTGATTTGCTGCACTGCTTGTCAGAAGTTATTTTTTTAACTTGACACAGCATCATGAAAAGTGATATGGAGCATCAGCCATTCATCATTCATAGGGCTTCATCTAACTGGGCCACAAGAAGGATACATGGAACATGAAAATGTACTGTATAATTATTATTTTTTTTGTATAAAAATCCATTCAAAAAAAGTTTATTATGATATGTTTTCTTCAGATTTATTTGTATATAATTTTTACCTTTAGGAATATTTATGTATATATATATATATATATATATATATATATATATATATTCTGCACTGTTTTTTAATAGCAAAAATAAACGGGTTTTTATCATATAGTTTATACATCTGATATTAATAACAGTGGATAGAAAAGCTATGTATACAGACAACTTAAAGTAAATATTGTTCTGGTAATTTTATATGTTCATTTAATTTTTTTTTTTTTATTACTGAACTTTCATAATTAAAAAAATGATATGTAAACCATGTACTTTTATTTTAGAACCAACATGATGTCCTCATGCAATAATATCACACCTAATATGTTTCTCACACAGTATAAATGGGTCTTTGTACATGAAAATATGACTCTATATTTTAGAAATTAAGTCTCGTTTAGGAGATCATCATATTTGGGGTCCTTAGCATAAAGTTTGCAAACCCCTGCTCTTGAGCACATTTAAAAACTTTCCAGATGGAATGTAAGAAGTCCTGTGTGAATTTCCCTTTAACACCCTTTTAAATTTTTACAAGTTCTGTCCACTTTTTTTTGCTGACACTTTGCAGATTTGTGCCTCGGGCAGTTTGAAGGACACAACATAATTAATGTCCAGCCTTTTATTTTCCTTCTCATCTTTATTTCTTTATCATTTTATTCTCTTTTTGTTCCGGGATAGGGCAAACATGTGCACAGGCGCCCTCTGATAATATCTGCTCTGACATTTTTTGTCTGGATGGATGTTCAAATGATGTTCACCATGCTGATTGGAGAAATTTCTGTCATGCTGTCTTATATGCAATGTTATCTCTGCCCTGCTGAGGCAATTCTAAGAATATTTGCTTCGTATGCGGCTATGAAAAGTCATTGAGTTTCTGAGTAACTAAACTAGCTTCTGTTCTCTTATGAGGAACTCCATTAAGAGAACTCCTAAAGGACTGAAGAAGCAGTGGGATGAATAGAAACAACCATAAAGAGTGGAGACCTTGTTTGGAAACGGTGCCCTTAACCCTCAAATGTATTTGTCATTAAACTGGAGATAAAGCAGAGTATGCCTTTGTGAGTTTAACAAGAGTCTGCATAGTGCTATCCGAGCGTCACTGAGGGCAGTGCTATTTTAGCAGCAAATTAACCTGTAGGACAAGAATGATATTATTTTTTCCATTTCAGTAAACACAGCACTTTTGTCAGATTTGGCTCATTAAATCTAAAAAAATAAGCTAAAATAAGCATTTATTTTTTCCTCAAAATACACAGTGCTGAGATTCTCCATTTTTTTTCTTCCATATTGCTGAGTGTGCGATCGCAAATGGCTTTTTTTCAGCTGCAGTTTTTCCTTGAAACTCTGAATTGCTGTAGTAATAACATGCTTGAAGCTCCCTAACGCTGAAGCTCCCTGGCATGAATTCTTCTTTCGAGGGATTTGAAGGTAGTGACGGTGCAGAAGCATACAATCTCATATCCAGACTGCTCATCTGAACTCACAGTGAGGTGCAGAAGCTGTTTGAGAGCTGCCCTCGTAATGTGCATTCTGTGTCCCAGCTGGCTCCTTACAAGGCCCTTGCCGTCCTATGCTCTCCCACTCCGCAAAGCAAATCAAACCAACACTTCGACATTTTTGACTGAACTTCAATAATTGACTTGGATATTAGCTTCAATAACAACTAAAGAGACCTCAGCAAAACGCAGAGTAGCAGAACAAGGCTGCAGTTTGGAAAGACAAATATCTAAGGCATTTTATTAAATGAACATGTACTTTCTGTATTAAAGGTAGGTATACATTTTTTTTTCCGGATTCTTTGATGAATAGTTAAAAAGAACTTTATGGTAACGTTTGAGCTTTTTTTATTTATTTTTTTTATTTTTATAAATAGTCTCAAATACGTGTCGTTTCCATCTCAATTCAGTTCACATTTTCAATAATATTAATAATATTTATTGAATATTAGTTGTCTTTTAAACCTCAATTAATCAACTAGGACTGATATATATCCTTTTAGGGTGAGCCGGCCCTGGGCTAATGCTAGTTTCTTTAAAGTTAGAAAGAATAGCTTTTTTTTTTTTAGCTACAAAGCATCTGTGTGCATATCCTTTCATAAAGAATGATTGTGAAGAAAGCATTGGGTTTTACTAAATCATAAAGGGAGAAACTAAGCCAAAACCTTCATTATTCATGAATGGGTTATCTAATCTAAAATATTTACATTTTAGACAGCGCACCTGATGATTTATGCTCTATGTTTCTGATGTAGTGAGTCTGTGTTGAATGTATTCCCTAGGAAAGACCTCTTGAGCGGCTCTCTGAAATTCCGTCTGTGTGTCTAGAGTTGTTATGTACTGTGTAGAACTGAGAGGAGGAACAGGGCTGTATATTCAAGGATGGCATGCGGGGTGTGTCATTGTTAGAAAGAATCTCTGTTTCCCTCCAGCTGAAAGGGTGATTGATGGAAAGCAAAAATAGGTGTGAAAGAGTAATAATGTTGCTGGAAGTAAAAGAGGAAGATGGACAGAAAGGTTGGTGCTGCATGGCTGACTGGTCTTTACAAAGGGGAAAAAGCCTCTCCGTCTACCATCGAACTAAAAGCCACAAAACAGCAATTTCCTCTGAGTTTTAAAAGCTGGATGATTACCTTTCATTCTTAATGCATTTTATTAAATGAACATGTACTTTCTGTATTAAAGGTAGGTATACATTTTTTTTTTCCGGATTCTTTGATGAATAGTTAAAAAGAACTTTATGGTAACGTTTGAGCTTTTTTATTTATTTTTTTTATTTTTATAAATAGTCTCAAATACGTGTCGTTTCCATCTCAATTCAGTTCACATTTTCAATAATATTCGATTATATTATTGAATATTAGTTGTCTTTTAAACCCCAATTAATCAACTAGGACTGATATATATCCTTTTAGGGTGAGCCGGCCCTGGGCTAATGCTAGTTTCTTTAAAGTTAGAAAGAATAGCTTTTTTTTTTTTAGCTACAAAGCATCTGTGTGCATATCCTTTCATAAAGAATGATTGTGAAGAAAGCATTGGGTTTTACTAAATCATAAAGGGAGAAACGAAGCCAAAACCTTCATTATTCATGAATGGGTTATCTAATCTAAAATATTTACATTTTAGACAGCGCACCTGATGATTTATGCTCTATGTTTCTGATGTAGTGAGTCTGTGTTGAATGTATTCCCTAGGAAAGACCTCTTGAGCGGCTCTCTGAAATTCCGTCTGTGTGTCTAGAGTTGTTATGTACTGTGTAGAACTGAGAGGAGGAACAGGGCTGTATATTCAAGGATGGCATGCGGGGTGTGTCATTGTTAGAAAGAATCTCTGTTTCCCTCCAGCTGAAAGGGTGATTGATGGAAAGCAAAAATAGGTGTGAAAGAGTAATAATGTTGCTGGAAGTAAAAGAGGAAGATGGACAGAAAGGTTGGTGCTGCATGGCTGACTGGTCTTTACAAAGGGGAAAAAGCCTCTCCGTCTACCATCGAACTAAAAGCCACAAAACAGCAATTTCCTCTGAGTTTTAAAAGCTGGATGATTACCTTTCATTCTTAATGAAGACAAGCTTTGCTTTCCTAAGTGAAAGGCAACCTAAAATTGGTATAATTGACCAGAAAAGCCCTCAGCAGAATCATTGTGCTCTTGCTCACCGTAAAAGCAGCATTTAGTCATTGTAGGCTCGACAGAAAATGGACTTGTTGATCTATCTGAACTACAATACTCCAGATTTGGTCAGTGCACTTGTTTTAGCAAGAGTTTTACAAGAGTTTTTTGCTCTTTCAAAAGATGTAATAAAAAGGCAAAATCAGGTTGTATAAATTCTTTACACAAAAAACCTTGACTAAGAAATGTTACAGTTGTCAACTGTATTCAGTAATTGAATGGACATCTATCTTTCTGTTTCAGGTTGTATGCACTGGAGCGCAGGAAGAGGAAGAGAAGACTGAATGTGTACCGGGATTTCAGGAGAAGGAGTACCAGGTGGAGTACAGTGGAGGGTTCCTCAAAGACGTTCCTCTGCTGCAAGGTACGGCAATGATGTCATCATCGGTGAATGAGAAGGTGCAGGTTTGGTTGTGGAATTTGAGTTTTTTGGCTTTCTCTCGCCTCTTGCTTTCTCTCTTTCACACACCGTGGCTGTCTGAGCCACATGTGTACGCCAGCTGGAGAAAGAACGGTTCTCGAGGGCCTCGGGTGAATGTTGATTGTTCGTTATTCTCATTATCATGGACAATACTTTTTCATTTATTAAAAAAAAGGAAATAAAGGCTCCAGTGTCCAAACAAAACATCAAAATGATCTGGTGCTCATAAATTATTCTGTTTGATTGTGAGGATGTTTACAAAGCCTTTGCGATTCCAGTCTCTTCCAGTGGCTGCTGCTCGTGACGGCTGCAGCTGCGTACAACTTTCTGCATAAAAATTCATGTCAAGATTCTGGCAGACAACGCCGCCATTCAGACATTTTCTGTCTGCATCATGTTTTTCAGAGGCAGTTAGGACAGATTATCAAAAAACTTTAGAACGCAGCAGAAAAAAGAAAAGCAGAGAGCAAGAACTGCTAATAAAGGAGTCGTTTCCTCACAGGTCTCCACGTTCGCACAATGAAACTCTCCTGAGAACCCCGAGAATCAGAGTGATTAATGAAATTACAGTCTAATTACACATTAAGCATGTACGTCCCCACAGGATACTCCTACACTGCCTTGCATGAAAAAGGCAACACCATGAGTGTTTTGGGAGCAACAACATATTAATCAGTTTTCAGATAAATCATAAACAATGTGTTGCCTGGTGGAGTTGTAACCTACCCACCCCTCAAGCCTAACATGAGAAATTAATAAAATAAATGAAAAAAATGCAATCCACTATGTGGTGTTCAGCTCAGAGATGTCCCTAGGTCCTGTACTGTGTGTGAATAGTAATCAGACAGGGGACCAAACATGCTGCAGAGGTCAGTGCTGCAGTGAGAGCAGGCAGACAGTGGCTTCGCTCAAGCAGGATGGAATATAAGTGTGAGGTGCTTGTACTACACTGATCCCTGATTGTGGAAAACTGGCACGAAGTCATGAGAGATAGTAGTAGTGGAGGAGTATAGCCAAGCTTGATATTCATAACCGGTCCACAAAATAGCCTGAATGTGTTGAACTGCTTGAAATTGATGTACTATGCTTAAACAGCTACCAACTTGTCCATCCATCCATACATCCATTGTTTGTTCGTTCTATCTATCGCTTGATCGATAGACAATGAGTCTATCGCCTGTAGACTGATTGTCATATCAGTCGTTCTGTCTTTCTCTTGCTCGATCAATCATTCTACCAATCGTTCTATCGATCAATTGTTCTATCTATCATTAGATTGGTTTAGCTATCAATCAATTGTTCTATTTATCGACCGTTCTACCGATCATTCCATCTATTGGTTGATCTATCGTTCAGTCGATTCATCATTCAGTCTATCTATTGTTCTATCTATCGATCATCCTACCAGTCATTCTATCTGTCATTCTATCCATCATTTTGTCGTTCTATCAGTCATTCTATTGTTGTCTATCTATCCTTCTATCTGTTGTTTATGCACGCAAAGATTTTGAACAGTGTGCTACTCAGTGTTGCCATGTCCACATATTATCAGCGTCTTTGGGATGTTGCTTATAAATATTGTCAGTTACATTGTGTTTATGGGACTTATTTTAATGTAGTCATATATTTGGCATATATACTGAGTTACTTCTTCAAATAAGTAACTCCAGTTACTTTGTTTCCCATGTCCTGACTGACAGCTCTAGTGTTGCCATATTGAGAGAAATAGGGAGTAAGTGCAGAAACGTTGTGCATGCTGTGTGAACATGTATTTACTCATCTCACCTGCACAAAAACAGATTCAATATTCCTCAAAGTGAATAAAAACAGTCAAATGCAAACTCAGAATATTATACAAACCTGCAATAATTAAATGTTAAATTAGACAAATATCATTTATGTATGTAATCCCATTTTATTAACCCATGTCTTTGCTACTGACCTTTGATGATCCAATTCAAGCATACTAATAAGCAAATATGACACATTTGTGTTTCATTTTTGTTATTGCTGAATAGTGTTGAACTTTCTTCTCCTGCGTCATATGCTTCATGCAGTTTGCTTGAGCTGCGCCCTCTACTGTACAGACATGAATTTACATTTCCTTCAGCCTGAGGCATATTCATTTCACATTTGTTGTGAAAGGGCTTTTACATGGCTTTTATATATGTAAAACAAGAACTTTTTATATTAAAAACAAACAAGCAAGCCCTGCCCCCCCCAAAAAGTAACTCAAAAGTAACGTAACATAATGTAACGTAAGTAACGTAATTAGTTACTCTTTTAGGGAGTAACGCAATATTGCAATGCGTTACTTTTAAAAGTAACTTTCCCGAACACTGACAACTACAGTAGTTGTGCACAGAATTTTATGTACAATACATGTGGTTGTGACTACCTGCAGTTTTCAGAAGTTAATTTGATTATGGCATGAGGTTGTCGTTACCAAATTCTGTGTGTTTGTGTATTATGATTAATATATTTTTAAGTTATTGTCATTTCAGAAGTCACTAAATATTGAACTACGAAAGTAACAGCCATTATTTATATTATAATAATGCATAGCATTTTAGAACATTATCATATTTAAGACCTAAAAATGAACATTTAGCAGTTTAATTCTGAAGAACATTTAAGGTTAAGGCTGTAAATTCCAACCATGTAACCTGAAAGAAATCCTGAAAGATTTGTGTTTTAACAGAACGGCGGGAGTGATTTGATTGGCAAATCAGGCTCTGTGGGATCTCATAGAGTCTTGCGATGATTGTCAGTCCTCGTTCAAAAAAGCAAAACAACTGTTCTTCTTGATTGTCACAATTCACTGGACCGTGTCTCCTCGGAGATGCACAGTAATGTCTTCAAGCTTTTCTTCAACTCCTCTGGGATCGGCAGTAATGTCTAGCTGGCACCGCTTCGGGCCCCAGTGGGAATCTAGCATCTCTTCCAAAGTGCCTTTCTTTTCCGTCTCCTCTTCCCAAATTGACAGTCGTGTCAACAGGTTGCACAGCTAAAAGAGGAAGAATGGGCACCGTAGTCAGCCAAGACAGTACTGTGGATGCTGCAAGTTTGTGTGACGATGAGTTTTTTTTGTGAACGTTTGTGTTTGTGTGTGCGACTGGGCATGACTGTTGAGTTTGCACACAGTCACCGATTTGGAGCCCGTTTGACCGCTGTGTTCCAAGTTTTTGTGTTTGGGTGGAGCCATTGATCCATGTAATTAGAAGAGTGAGAGTGGCGGCAGTCCTTACAAAAGATTGTTCCCTTTGAATTTCAGTTTACTTAAGCTACAGAACATGATTACACTTATATAGAACACCACTCAACTCATTACGCTGACAGATAAAGAAACGAGGTGAAAGCTCCATCATCAGGCCAAAAATGCAATGAGAAGTGCCACTTTTTCCAATGGAAAAATATATATTTTATCACCAATTCAGCAAGCTGGCCAATCTCGCTCAGAGTTTCAATCTTTTTATTCTATTCTATTGGGAAGGGTGCTGAGGCATTCTGTCATCTAGGGACCCAGCGATCCATGCACATGGAGACAGAGCTCAGTTCCGCTTTACTGAGTCACCCTGTAACCACTGTGCACTTCTATTACCCTGAATATGCTCCTGTCAGCACAGCACAACACACCAAACACACTCACTTACGTGCACAACTTCGCACATGTGCAAATAACTTTCCTAGTAAACCGAAATATAAGCAATGCATTACCATGCTTGTTTGCGAAAGCGTGATCATTCAGTCAGAGAAGTACACTTGGTTTTCATGAAGCTTATTTGCTGCAAGCTCTATGCTCAAAATCCTTGCAGGTAGTATAGCTGTAACAGAAGAAATACGCTGGCCAGGGCAAACTCATTCGTATTTATAGATTCATAGAAATGTGTATGTAAATCATACACAGACTACTGTTCAGATGTTTGAGTTTAGTATGAGTTTTTTTTTTTTTGTGGTCTCTTATGCTCATCAAGGCTACATTTATTTGATCAAAAAATGCAGTAAAACAGTAATATTTTGAAATATTATTGCAGTTTAATCTGGGGTCCGAGGGTGTTTTGGGGCCTGGAAAAGTTTTGACATGCCTGACATTTGTGCTTTTTTCAGTTGCTTACAAACATTTGAATGTCTAAAGTTTAATAACACTGTAATCAGCACAAACTGGGCTACAATAATATGTGAGCAGCATGTGGCATAATAAAAGTACAATTACTATTCTGTGCACTTACTCAGTATGATTTTCCAGCGAACTCAAAACTGAACGACACGTGTGC